TAGCAACTCTCTGCCCAAAATGTTTTACTGAGACTGGTCATATAAGTATCCTCTGCCTGGAATGCACCAAAATTCTACACTGCTGAAAAGAAAGGTATTCGGCCTAAATCACATTGTTTAAATAAGCAGTTTAAGCATAGCGAGGCATTCTTATCAGTCAGGACAATGGGAGTCATCCTGAAAACAAAGTCCCACAGGCAAATTATGTAAATATGTCTCCCAAAGGCCAATGGTCATGCCTACCAGGTTCACTCTTTTTTTATACATAAACAAATGAATAACAACTAAATGGAATGAGGAGAAATGCAATTGCTTTACAAGCCCAAGGAAAATCCTTTGGAATATTCTCACCTGCTCGAGATATGCTACTTATCGTCTTTGACCTAGACTGAGGGACGATCCTCAATTCAGTACACACCATTTTCTCCCAGGAAATGGTATCTTGAACTGGTTAAATAAAAAAAAACGCATAAACTATAATCTACAAGTCTGCTGCTCTCTCATGCCTTTTCTAAATATGCTTAAACTTATTGTAAACTGTAGAATTGTGTTATTATTGAAAAACATACACCGACCAGTTGTTTGACACTACTCAGTGTAGGCTGTGATTCTCATCCATGGGACTTAACCTCCTCGGTTTAGGGAAGCCTGTGGACCTCTTCTCAGGACAGTTGCTTTAAATACAAAAAATAAAATCCACAAAATTGTAAAGAAACATTATGGTGAAATCTAGTTATCAAAATATTTTAAATTAATTTATAATATAATAATCTATGTGTTTCTTTATTAACACAGCAATATCTAGCAGTAAACCCAGTAACTAGTATAATTTTTAAATAGCAATAAGCATAAACAACATTTTTTGAATGTAACACATCTCATATATTATGAAAGTATCTGTGATTTACTTTGGCACTTCTAATAACACTGTAGTTGGTTATCAAGCTTTATAGTTGATGGAAAAGCAAAACTTCAGTGATAAATGAAGTAAGGGCTGGTGGAGTGGCTCAAGTGGTAGAGTGCCTACCTAGCAAGCCTGAGGCCCTCAGTTTAAATTCCAGTGCCACAACAATAAAAAGAAAAAAATTAGATAAAATAAGACATAATAATTTTGTTATGAAAATTTACAGACCATAGGTAAAAACATTTCAGGTTTCTGGTACTGTGGATCAGGGGTTCCTTAAATCACTTAATTTAGGTCATAACCTATTAGGACAAAGGCAAGCAGCCTTCATTTTTTCTTGTTTCTTTGTTTTGTTTTGAGCACAGAATTTTTAAAATAAATAATCAGACTAACATGATTTCACATAAAAATTCATACAGCTGGCTTCTCTGGAAAAATAAATATGAAGATCAAGCAATACCAGGCTGGCATTCCAGCCAAGTAGTATACAACTGGACTGAGCAACTGCCCTTTTACCTACAATGTGAACTCTGCAAGTCTCACTTCACTCCTGTAAGCTATCTGCCTTGTCTATAGCAATCTCGTATGTACTGTATTTTCTGCTTAATAATACCCCTCTGGCTGGAAGCAAGTAACACAGATTTGCTTCCTAAAAAAAAGGAGAGAATTCTATTTGTACCCACATTGTTGTCCTGTCTAACTTCTGGTCGTGTACTTTCAGCAGTTGACACATTTAAGGCCCATAAGCAACTATCTAATCCCAAATGTGATGGAATTTGGAGGTTTTTAGGTTTAGATGAGGGCACAAGAATAGGGCCTTTATAATGGCAGTAGTATCTTTGTAAGAAGAGACATCAGAGAGTTTGCTTCCTACCTCTCCCACCATAAAATAGGACACAATTTGAAGGTGGTTATCTGCAAGCCAGGAGAAAGCCTTCACCAGGGAATCAAACTGGCCAGTTACTTCCTAACATCCAGAACTACAGAAAATATATTCTTATTACTTAAGTCAGCCATTCTGTGGCATCTTGTTGACTGACTAAGGCAGCTGCTTTCACACTATACAGCAAAGTCAAGATGTTGAGATTGGCACATAAATACTACAATTTTTACTGTCTTGTCTTTGAGAGCTTGTTTGAAGGTTCTACCAGGGAGCATAGGTACTTATATACCCTTGACTGAAGAATGGTCCTCATTTATTAGGGATGGTCAGCCTCTTTGACCAAGCATGCAGCCTCGGGAAGGATGCACATGGAGTGGTGAGGGAGGAAGGGGACACCCACCTAGCCAGCCAGATCAAACAAATCAACCCTGGCAATCAATGGGGTGACAGGTGTCACAGCCAAATCACCCTTACATCCACTGTCTTGTTCTTGACATAAAAACGTTTACCAACTCCTGCTCTAATTAGCAGAATTTTTATGCAGACAAGTTTAAGGATGGCTATGGAACTATGTTTGCATAGCAAGGATTTCATTTTCCTTAATGGAGATGGAGACAGGCAGTTAAAGAACTATCCCATTCTTCTCTGTTACAGTCACTGAAAAACATACCCTATAAAAACCTCTTTCCTGGGCCACTGGAAAAGCTTATGTGGTCAGAGCTGGAATCTACTATGGCTGAGAAGTTGGTTTCAAGGTCTACTCCTCATACCTACTAGAAGCAAGTCCTTAATCAATAGCATATGAGATCAATAGCATACTAAGGTTATAATTCCAGTTACACAATTCATAACAAATGTTCAGTGCAATAATGCTAACAATAATAGCAATAAGAACGAAAATTGTATTAACTGGGGAATAAGGTAAATGAGTGGATGACAAACTATAAATTTTTGGAAGTGGAAGATGGTTGTGGAAGAAAGTGCAGCTTTTTGACAAGCTAACGCAACATAATGTAATCTATAAAAATATAGATTTCAGAATGAGAGATTGGTACAAATTCTAACTCTGACCCATAAGTTATTTGGTAACGTTGTATCCCGATCTCAGAGCCTCAACTTCCTCATGGATGAAATGGAGATTATACTGCCCTTCTTGGGTTATCATGTTTAATAAAATTATAATATGCCAAAATGCTGGAATTGCTTGCTGTATAAAACAGACCCTCAAAATGCTACTTAATATTACTAATTATTTAAAGTCATTTTTCTCAGTTTTCTCTTTTACCTTTTTTTTTCTTTTTTGCTTAGAATAAAGTGACACTGGCTGAAAATACACCCTGTTCCCACAATTTGCCAAGCTCTTGAAACAATCCATTAAGAACCAAAGGGCTGGACTTATAAAAAAAAAGATGACACGAGTTATAACAGGGAACATCTTATAAAGGGAAGAAACCCTTTGATGTAACACTGGTACCTTCAGAAGACAGGAACGTTTTGCCAGAGCCTATTAAGAAATAAAGAAATAAAAATAAAATAACAGAAAAAAAACCCAAACCTTGAGTTTTCGTCTCTAGCTTGTTTTCCTGTCGGAGGAAGCCATGCTGGTATGTGTCCCCAACACTCGTCCATAACCAATGAAGTGTGTGAGAGAAAAAGAGTCAACAGAGCTCATTGTGAAGAATCAACATTTATTTTCTGCTAGTGATTTAATTGTCCCTTTTGAATCCATGCATTGTAAATACTAGTTGGTTATTTAATACTAATCCCTCTGGCCCAGAGTTTCCTCATACGTGTTGATGGGGAAATAACTGCCTGCTTAATTTCACAGGAATATTGAGGACAATGACAAATAAGATATGTCCTGAAGAACATAACGATGATGGGTAGGGGCTTGGGTAATCTTGCAGAATGAGAGAAGATTCCAAATTCAGCAAATTTTAGGTTATAGAAGATACAGTAAGAATAAAGAGTGTCAAATATCTAAGTCTGCTGAGATGAGGTACTTATTGCAGAAGCAGCATGTAATCTAAAGGGACACCATGCTCTCAACGAACAAGCAAGAAAGTTGTGTATTTAGCTCATATTTGGACCCCACTCCCACATCCATCATTGCTTTAATGTTCAATTGTTTGTGTTTCACATAATATTCACCCTTGAAGTTTCTTGTGCACAGGGGCTCTGGGTTTAGACTATGTGCTTTCTACAGCTTCTTACTTGTCGCAAAAGTTCTGGATATCCAGTGACTTCCTGTTACCTGAAGTATAGAGTACTGTTCGACTATAGCTCAGATGTTGTGATGCAGCCACTGAGAGTCCCGTCTTCCCTTGGAACCCTGACATCACATTCATTTAATTATGTTCATTTCTGTGTTGATACAGTATGGATGTTAATTTGTCTCTTGCCTTCATTGTTTTCATCCATATTAACTACAAGGAAGGTTATTATTTAAGGATCAGTGGAATGGAAGGATTGTTAGTTCAAAATACTTCACTACAGACAGACAATCATTTTAGATGAAATTCCTTAGTGCTGTTATCCAAACATGTATTTCATTTTTGGCAATAAAAGAGCTGGAACCAATGCCCAATGACCTATAAATCAGAGCTAGGAGATTTCTTTATGCAAATTAAACTTGTGTCACATTCATCAATAAAAAAGAAAATGGTAATGAAGATTAAATTTGCAGCAGCAGTACAAAGTAAAGGATTCCTATACCTATTGTAGGATATGTCAGTTGGGCTAATTAATTTTTGAGATAGTGTTCTTTGAAGGAATTAATGGAGAGTAAGCTTTGTGAATTGATTAAAAAATGAGAAAGGTTTAAAAGACATTGTGAATGTAAAATAGGCAACCAGCTTGATTGACCTTACCAGCTTTAAAGAAATCCACACAATAAAGTAAAAGACACTGCTGCTCATTTTATGATAATACTATAACTGTATCATAGTTGAGTTCACAGCTCATTTGTGTCTCTTCCAATCTGTTTTTCATTTTGCATCCTAAATAATAAAAACTCAAATATTTATTCACATAATCAGAGTGTCCCTTAAAAAATAAATAAAATGTAAATAAAGGAAAAGAAAATTATATCACTCTACACATTGATGGGAATGTATTACAGCAAAATGAAGTCAATTCCATTCCTCAGTCAATGGAGCATAACGTACTAACCCTCTGGAAACCAATAAGGAAAAGTAGATCCAGACAACATACCCGCTTCCTTAGATTGCACGTGAGAGTGAGATTCCTTGAGAATGAATTTGCAAAAGCTGTATAAAAGTCGAGGACTTTGAGCAAGGCTTCTCGCTTGATGATGTGCAGGTCACAGTACGTCAGTGCCCGGACATTGGCACAGGCATGAGCAAGGGTGGTTTCCTTCCAGAAAATGTCTCCAAATACATCACCTTTTCCTGGAAAACAGTATAAGACTCATATTCAGGTATTTATAACAGTTCCCAGCATAGCCATCTTTGTTACTCAGTATCATGTGTAGTATTGATTGTGTAGCATCATTTAGAGCTGAGGGTATAAAACCCACCTGTATACACATAATAACACACAACACTTTTACACAATGAGTAAAGTAACATCACCCAGAAATCAGCTCTTGATAGAAATTTGGAGTGTCATTCAATAGAGAAGTTAAAAACCTCATTTTAGCAAATAAGTTGTCTTCTGCCACCTTAACTTCTATTCTAGAAGAAGCAAAGCTGACTCCTTAGTTATATCCTTTCCCATGTTCCTTCTGTAAAAAGTGACAACGAAATACAATACACAATGACCCACTGCTACAAGCTTTATAAATACAGAACTGTTGCCACATTATTTCATAACAAGGATTATGATCCAAGACAATGAAAACTTGGCATGTCCAAGGCCTTAAAGGAAAGCCTAGCTTTTTCAAAGTCTCCACCTCAACAAACCTTACACAGGACCTCAGGGTCCAGTCCAAAAGGTCTCCATTCACAATTTCCAAGGTCAAGAAACTGAGTTGAATAAACATGGAGGTACAAATGTGTTATCTCATAAGTTTGCTGTACTATAGTTAAATACATATGTCTTTGTTTTGGTAGTACTGAGGTTTGAACTCAGGGTCTTACACTAGGTAGTCAGATGTGCTGTCACTAGAGCTACACCTCCAGCCTTTTTTGCTTTAATTCTTTTTTGTATAAGGTCTTATTATGCCCTGGTTGGTCTGGGCCACAAACCACCTATTTTTGCTTCCTACTGTAACTGGGATGACAGGTGTGCACCATCACATCCAGTACTACTGGTTAAGATAGGGTTTTGCTAACTTTTTTGCCAGACTCACCTAAAACTGTGATCCTCCTGATCTCCACCTTTCAAGTAGCTAGGATTATACAAGCGAGCCACTATGCCCAGCTAGATATCTTTTCAAAATTCTAGACATCACCTATTCACTTCAGAGCATGATCCATTGCAGAATTCAAGCATCACCATAAAGATCAGTTAGAGATGAATCAACTTGGGTTGTAACACATTTGTACATGAAAGCAATGCTAGGAATCTCCCTGTTAACTCAACTTTCAAAAACACTTTGTCTTCCATATTATGTTTATGTCTTCTCTTCAACAAAATTAGAGATAAGGGCAGAACAGGTTCTGCCTGGAAGTGGGGGGAGGAGGGGACAGGCTGGGAGAGGGGGGAGGGAGGGGGGAGAAATGATCCAATGTACGCACATGTGAATAAAGAAAAAAGAATAAAGAATAAAGAAAAAGAAGGGAGTACTTCTTGCCCAAGTAAAGGGAATGAGGAAAAAAGTCTCAAAAACTTTTCTGCTGAGGCAATTCCCTAAGAACTCCAGGCTCCTGAAGTGCAGTCAACTGGATTCTTCTGCTTCTGGGGAAGGGATAGGCAAAAGGAATGTACCCAACTGGGAAAAATTTTCCTACCCACACTGTGTCAATTTATTCTCTCTATTCTCTAGCTATAAATATGAGCAAATATCTATTTTCTTGATGCGGATTAAAATCAGAGCAAGCAGGGGAAAAGGAAGAATGCTATCTTACAATTCTTGAGGATAATTACATAGGAAAGAGAAGATAGTATAACCAAAGAAATGAAAGAGAAGCAGACAGAGGCAAAGAGGTCATTGTTACTCTTTCTATACTTCTTTTTCCTTAAAGATACACCCCAGCCCTTCAAATATTTATCTGTTTTGGAATCATGAGGAAACAAATCTATGATGTAAAAAAATAATTAGAAACTTGAATATTCATTCACAACAAACTTTATCCTCTGCTTCCCTTGCAAAAACTTGGAGAAAAATAGCAAAATTAACAAATGTAGATAATTCTACTCCCAACATCAGAATTCATGTCACATAATACACAATACTAATTGTTTCATGGCATATAATGTCAATAAATGATATGTAATATATAAGATGTATATTAATCTAATCAATCATTTCAAAATATGTTTGCTTTATCTAGCTCTTTGTCTCCTAATAGGAATTCAATTCACACAAACTTTTATGACACTTCTGGGAGGATAGTCATCTTGTAAATCAACAAATTAGTTTACCAGATGCACCAAAACAGGCTAATGTCCTTCTCAAAGCATATTATGCACATTTACACAATCTGCAGAAATCCCAGATTGTGGAAGTGTGGGATTATGCATGGATGAGCCAACAGAGAAGTGCCTCTTTTTTTTCCTTTTGCACACATTTAGTGTAGGCACTCCTACCATTCTCATGACTATAGACTATTTGATGCTGGTTTTTAGGTCAGCTCCTGCTGGGTGCAAGTAGTCTCAGCTATAAACATTTTAGAGCTTGAGCGAACTAATCTCCCTCAAAATCCTAAAATAGTAGAAAAGCTCACATTCCACATGAAAGTTGTTGTTTGGTCTATTTATATTTTCTCAGTTCTTTGCATCAAGCCTCATGAAGTTATTTCAGTGTTGAACCACAGGAAATGAGATTGTAAGATAGAAGTTAATGTTAAAGGTTCATATAGTAGGAAACTGAAAAATTTAAAGACTAAACATAGACAGAGTTATAATTAAAGAGTAATACAGACCATGGTATTCTTTGGGATTATGGCCCCTATGGGACTGACTTTGCAGCCTGATTTTTTTTAATTGTGAGATACATTATTTGGTTAGTTAATTACATGGATAAAATAAATCCATAGAGTTATCACAGTTATTCATCAGTCAGAATAGCTAACTAATATATCCAACAGGTTCTTAAAATATCATTTGAATTTTATTTAGGTGGTTTCCTGTGTTTATGGGGGTGTGACAACTATATATATGATTCAAATATCTTTATGTGCACGCACTCACCAAATAGCAGAGTTTTTAAAAAGTAGCATAGAGAAATGCTCACATGATATAAATAATAAAAGCAGACTATCAAAACATAATGCAGTATAATGTCACTTTATGTACCTCACAGGCCCCTAACTCACATATGTACACAAAACATGGAAGTAAATGCATTAAAATGGATTATAATATTAAAAATGGATTAAAAATGTTACATATTAATATATCATATAAAATGGTAAATATGTATGTACACACATACCATTTTCTTTACCCATTCATCCATCAACAAGACACTTGGCTTGTTGTGAATAATGCTACAATGGACACAGGACTGCAGACATTTTTATGCATGTGATCATATCCAGAAAAGAGATTGTTGGCACATATTATAGTTCTACTTTTTAAATCTCTTTAGGAGTACCCACACCATTTGCCATGATGATTGCACAATCTACCTTCCTACCTAGTACATACTACAGTTTCCTTTCTACACATCCTCGCCAACATTTGCTGTCTGCTGAATTGATTTTATAATAGCTACCCTAACAGCTCTGAGATAATATGTTGTAACAATTTTGCTCTCCATTTCCCTGATAATAATGTAGAGAACTTTTCCAAGTGCCTACATACCTGTTTTTATTATTTTTGGTTTTGTTTTTTGTTTGTGGCACTGAAATTTAAACTCAGGGTCTCACACTTGCCAGGCAGGTGCTCTAACACTTGACCCACTCCACCAGTCCTTTTTTTGTGTTGAGTATTTTTGGAGATGGGTCTCACTTTTTGCCCAGGCTGGGCTTGAACCACAATCCTCCTGATCTCTGCCTCCTGACTGGGTAGGATTACAAGCCCAAGCCATCAGTGCCCAGCCCTATTGGCCATTTTTAGGTCTTCTTTAGAGAAATAGCTGTTCAAATCCTTTACCTTACTTTTTAACAGGGTTGTGTGATTTTGTTTATTTGTTTGTTTGGCTATTGAGTTGTAAGAGTTCTTTATAAATTTTTAAATATTACCTTCTTTTTAGGCATGAGGTTTGCAAATATCTTTCTTCAGTCCAAGGATGTCCCTTACATTTTGTTGATCATTTTCTTTCCTGTATGGAAAGCTGTTAGTATGATGTTTTTGTAACTTGAGCTTTTGTTGTGATGTCCAAAAAAACCATTGACAAAACCAATGTCATACTTGACTGTATATCTTCGGATGTGTTTCTGGACTGCTTATTTTATTTTATTTGTCTATGCTTCTATTTTTAATGCCAATATTACACTGTTTGGGTGCCATGGCTTTGCAATATAATTTTAAATTAGCAACTGTTATGCCACCAACTTTGATTTTTTTTTTTACAGTATTGCTTGGGCCATTGAGGATTTTTGGTGTTTGTTTGCATGTATGGTTCCATACAAATTTTAGGATTTTTTTTTCTATTTCCATGACAATGCCCTTGAGATTTTCATAAGGACTGCATTTAAGCAGTGTACTGCTTTGGGTAGGATGGACATTTGAACAATCTTAATTCTTGCAATCCAGGAGCACATAATATCTTTCCATTTATTTGTATCTTCTTCAATCTCTTTCATCAATGTTTTCAATGTACAGATCTTTTGTCTCCTTGGCTAAATTTATTCCTGAGAACTTTTAAATCTTACTTTATTTTATTTTATTTTATTTGTGACGCTAGGGATCAAGCCCAGGACCTTGCACAGGTTAGGCAAGTGCTCTACTAAGAGTTTTATTTTTTATGATATTGTAAATGGGATTTTTTTATGATTTCTTTTCAAGTGAGCCATTATTAATGCACAGAAATGTTACTGATGCGTGCATGTTGATTTTATACCCTTGAACTTTACTGAATTCATTTAGTAGCTCTGATAGTTATGTTGTGGAATCTTTGTGATTTTCTACAGATAGCATCATATAGTCTGCATATAGCGATAATTTAACTTCTTTCCTGAGCTGAACGCTTTTTTTCTGTCTGATTGCTCTTACTGGTACTTGCTATGCTGAATGTGAGTACAGAGAATGAACATCCCTCTGCTGTTAGTCAGCTTTTAGTCACTGTGACAAAATTCCTGAGACAAACAACATAAAGGAGGAAAGTCTATTTTGGCTCACA